TAATTCGATCAATTGAAACGCAAACGTTCCAGTCTTTTCTAATAATTATGGACGACTGAGTTTCTCACAACAGAACGATCAAATTTCATCTTTTTTTAATTCAACATTTCATTCGGCGATACTTGCAAGAATATTTGCGAGAAATCATCCATCACTTTTTTCATTATTATTCTCAGGTGAGAATTAATTCAGAGGAAATTGATCTTGTAGAACGTTTAATTGCAAGATATAATTAGAGCCTCTGAGAGAATTAAATATTTCGTCTACAAATCGGACAAAAGAAAATAATTAATTTTTAATTCATCGATCTCTCTTGCTTCGTAATTCGATTTGATTTTTATTTCGTCGGTTCATCTTTGAAGATCAAAGATGTTGCAATAATTCTTTGACTTTTTGAGAGAGAAAGAGAGAGAGAGAGAGAGACAGTTTTTCGCTTTTCACTACAAAGCCTTTATTAACCATCGAGGCATCATATCGAATATTCGCGAGATCCCGAAGACCATTGTTTGCATTTTACAACGCCGTCAGCTATCCTTAGTTCAAACCCGGCCAGTCCAACGTCTCCAGACTCGATTATCTATTAACTACTGCGGCGAAACTGGAACGCTATTTCAGCGTTAATAAGAAATTCACACAGAGATCCTACGTTGGATTCCGCTCGAGTCCAAGCTTCTGTCGAACAAAAGCGACTGCCCGGCAAAAACGGAATTTCGTGGCGAAAGAACATCGAGGGAGGACAAAGGAATGGCCATGCATTGCAGACACTGCGCGTAGCCAGCGATTTCTTGCCAGTCGCACGCATAATTAACAAGATTCGCCAGTTGACCATTAGCGAATGGTTACGCGATGATTTATGTTCTCGTATGTGCGATTAATCGTTGCGATTCGTGAAAGATTTGAAGCACGTTAAAATTTCCAAAGAAACGAGAGATCTTCCTTCGTGTAGATTATTGAATTCAGGGTATTCATACGATCAATATCATTGATGGCCAATTAATTGAAAAATAAGGATTTAATATTTCATCAATAAAATATGAAATTTTTGAAGACGGATAACAAATTATTAGTAACATAAATATAGGTATTGTAGTTTTGAATAATTTCAATTGTATGATTTTTTCTTTTTAATAAATTTAAGTTTAAATTGTTTGTTTGTTATAAAATCGATGATAAAAAAATAATGTTAATGAAATAATTATAATATTATAAAATTGTGAAATGAGATTAAATTATCTGAGTAAAAAGAATTTGAATCTTGAAATATATATATTTCATGTTGAAATCATTAATAAAAACTTTAGTTTTATATTTGAAGTTTAAATTCAAAGCACTATTCATATTAAATTACTTATTAGAAATGTTTTTCGATTTTATGTATAAATAATAATGGAACTTCATTAAATACATGATCAAATTCAAAAATTTCGTATCTAAAAAGCGAATCGGGAAGTGAGAATTTTGTTTCGTTTTCGTTTCCGCAGGAAATCAAGTTTGGAAGTATTGATGAACTAGTTTTAGTTAAATCTGATTAATACCGAACGTGGTTAGGAATAAAATAAACCGAAAGTCTGAAGGGTGGAATATTACGTTCTTCGTAAAAGGCACTTCGTTATCGAGGAAATTAAATTTGAACATATTTGAAATTTCCTTTACTTCTTTTGAAAACAGATCAGAGGTAGAACAAGCCTCTACCGACTCATTATATTTACTGTTATTTACAATTGGCCAAATTCAAGTATACTCGATGAATATTTATTTTTCTCGAGCATTAAATAGAAAAACTTTTGTTCCTTCTTCTCAAGTCACTCTTGCACGTGTCCCTAATTTTGCGAATATTTCACGTACTAATATTTAATTAAACATTAATAGGCGTACGTTTATTCAATTAATTACGCAATCAGGCAATTCGATTCATTTCAAATTATCCAAATTAAGGTCGAAAATATCTTCTGCTACTTTTCCACGAACAACCTCTCACTGCTGCGCTATCGTGAGAAATTTCAAACTGAAGCGAAGTTAAAATGGTACAACCGTAATCGCGCTTGACTGTTTCACGTCCCTTCGAGGAATTGTTACATTCCGAGCAAACGTATATTCAGATAGTAGTGTACGCAGTTGTAGGATGATAGTTTGCTATGCTAGAAGGTCCGGGGCTAATTCCCGGAGTGACTGTGTGTCGAGTGAGAAAGTTATATAGACGAGAGTTTCGAATTTAATTTTGGTAATCCTTTGAGGAGATTAAAAGTTAAGGTGTCTAATAGACTTTAATTACGCTGAAGCGCGAGTAGTCGAAGTCAAGCACAACCTATGAATAATCGATAGAAATCCCTGATAATTTACGCGTCCTCTCTTACATAGATATCGCGCATGTATGTGTGTGCCGAGTTAAACAACTAATATTTCTAGATTCTAAAATACTTGAACACTCACTCGTCCCCTGTGTCAAAGTGACAGTATTTTTCTTTTATATATATTAAACATTTGGTAATATTTTTTTCTTATACACACGAGTCTTTTACACATACAATTACACATATTTTCTCCGTATAACATATATTTTTAATATCTTCGAATATATAATATATAACGTATATTTTTGATAAATATATGTCGTTAGAATTGCAGTTTTTTGTCAGTAGTTTGTTTGGCGAGTAGTTGCAGACAGTACGTTGTCTTTTAATTATTATTATACAAATGATCGTAACGTTTGACCAAAATTATAGCCAATAAAAGTCACGATACGCGAGAATAGGATTTTCGTAGCGAACTTCACAAACAGTTAACTAAAATCTATTGGTTGGCACGTAACTATTCACTTTCTCACTAGCAGACACTAATTTTTCATTCGTTGCTGATCAATCCGGCATCGGGGAAGATGGAAACGAGGATTAACCTTTTAGGCACTCACCGTTTGAATCAAATGATTGTTTTCATATGTTTTTGTTTCATACTTTTTTTTTTGCCTTCACATCGATTTATAATAGTGTTAACAATATACAGACAGAGCGCACAGTTTTTGTTTTTGATACACCAGTGTCAGGTATGAGCTGTTGCTTTTCATTTAAATAAACATATCATTTGCTCTTAATATACCAGATGCTCTTTTTAAAGTATGCGTATCGTATCTTTAAGAAAAATTATAATTTAATCATCGAAAACTTCATTCCAATGTACTCGCGTAGAGAACAGCATTGTCCATCACACATTGCAGTGCCGTATCGTTTTACACATGATTCGCGTTGAACTCTGCCGTACAGAGAAAATCTTCATTTCTAAAAATCAATCTCTACAAATTCTCGAAATAAATTCGTTCGACTTTATGTGTCTCTCGAATACCACCCAACCAAAACAAAAAAAAGAAGAAACAACCTGATATTTCCCCTCTTTAAAACAATCTCCATACACTTTAAAACGCGAGCGGTCGAACAATCCCGTTTCCAGAATCACGACTGCCAGCGAATACAGAGGCGAAACTAGACAGTGAGAAAGAGACAGAGGGAGATAGAATACGATCTCGATATCGCGATAACGGTTATCGTTGGTCAGCGCGGAAGAGATGGTCGATAAAGCGAGTCACGGCGGTGTCTCGTGTCGACACGGGTCACCGGCGGAAGTCGTGAAAGCCGTGCTTCCCGGCAGCGAAGCCATTGCCAGCCCGGACGAAAGGGTCAACGGCGAGGTTCCGTGGCGACGCGAGAGCCGGAAACCCGGGCTGCCGGAAGCGTCCGGGGAAAATAAAGCACACGCGCGCGCGCCATGTACGTGCGTAGTACATACGTGCGAGTAAATCGTGTAGAGATCTGCTTTGAAGCGAGGTAAAATAACATCTACGATTTTTACCACCGTGTCAGATCAGAGGAGGGGAGGATCGATATCGTCTGAGGTTCATTCGAACAGAAGGAAGTGAGTGAAGTTTGGTTTTACGAGTGACGACTCCGTTCCTTGCCCCGATTGATTTCGTGAGTTTCGTGTCCGAGTCGCAGGGTACTTGATTCACTGGTGGATTGAGAATTTTATTTAACGTCTTTTTAGCATTTTTACTTCATTTAATTCAATATTTGAAACCTGTTTGTTGAACTAAGAAACTGTGAGAGAAACAGTGGAAGTTAGTTTGAATTAGAATAGAAGAATGGAGAAAGAATAGTTCGAATTTTAAGGGTTGTTTTTCTTTTAGTACTCTTATTGCAATTTGTTAGCTGGGAAGTGTTTGAATTAAACATTCGACATCTTGTTCAAAATGAAATGTTTGAAGAGTTGATTGAGACAGTAGAGAGAAACATGCCTGGTCAGACATTGTACCGACAGTCTTTAATACTGAATCTTTATTTGAGACTAGTTCTTGTTAGTTGCTAGAACACAACATTCTAACTACGTTGTGAAGTTTTCAGTATCTTGTAAAAATATAAAATTTGAACATTCGTACATACGCAATTTTACTTCCGAATTTTTATTCAACTCTTTCATTTAATGTGTCGCTGTTGATCAATATGATTTGTAGAACAATCTTCGCGAAGTATCTCAGTTCATTTCTCAATTCATTTCAAACTGAAAACTTTTAATCAGTCATAACTGAGTCAGTAGAAGAGGATGTATCTTGTCAGACATAGAGCGTTTTGCGTTTTATAACAATATTCTTTTGGAATATAGTATATAGAATTTGTCCTCATAAATTAACACA